AAATTATCATTCAAATTAGGTAATTAATATTCATAGATTTTTACCTAAAACTAATCAAATCTGCGCACTAGTTCAGAGCATCCATGTGCCAAGTTTCATCAAAATCCAATGAGTGGTTCTTCAGATATCAGTGGAACAGTCTTGGAACAGCTAAAAATCAGCTAATTATCATGCAAATTAGGTAATTAATATTCATAGATTTTTACCAAAACCTAATCAACTCTGCGCATTATCCCAGAGCATCTATGTACCAAGTTTCATCAAAATTTGATTAGTGGTTCTTGAGATAACGGTGGAACAAAAAAAGTGACATACATACATACATACAGACAGACATACAGACAGGGTAACTGCAAAGACTCCCTTTTGTGCTTCGCACACGGGAGTCAAAAATATCAAACCTATTTCAATGAAATTGTCAGAAAGGGCATCACAACTGTAAGTAATCAATCCATCCAGACTCGGGTAGACATAGTTTGAAAGTATAAGTGCTTTGATAGATAATGCTAAACATGTACAGGAGAGTACATTTGTTACTCACCTTTCCCAGTCATAATCAAATCGTTTTAACTGTATGGCTAATATACTCGGTAATTTTTTAATACATAGCCTCTTCACAGTGTCCACCTGTGATATATAAAATGTTTAGATTCAAAGTACACAACATTCACAATAAGTATACAGGTTTTGTAATTGAAACTAGAGGATTTCAGTTCAATTTTTATCACAGTTGATGCACAAACTAATTCAATGTACGTAACTGATACTATGATTTGTGCTTCCAAAAAATGTCTGTAATATAAATTACTGGCTTTATTTTGGAGATACCAGAAATACAAAGCAATGCATTTATCTTTCCCACCATATGGTATGAGATCACTGTAACATGTCTACAAAGAACTGCAGTTTATTCCCACAATCTTTATAATACAATGAAATTTATTTTTCTACCTTTTTATTACACTTATCACAGTGGTAAGCATTAGCACCTTCTAGTAAATCTCCTTTAACATACTGCTCTAATGAATCTAGCAAATTCTGATGATGTCTGATATCAACATTCAAGGTAGTGAAAGGTTCTTCCCTTGAATACCTGTCAATGGCACACAAAAAAAACGAATTTGACAGTGCTAATTATTCATGTTAAATTCTCTAAAATATTTTAAAATCTTCCAACATTTATTTCAAAAGTAACTTTCCATCATTTAATTTACAAATAAATGCTTTGTAAAATAGTACTGTCAAATTATAGGGTTTGCACAAGAGTAAGACAAATTAATTAGAAAGACGATTCAAAAACACTGTGACCATGTATGTGTATCTTAAGGTTTCAAAACGTGAATTGTAAAACACAATTGCTTTGTCTTGATAACAACAAATTAACTAGCACCCTGTCAGCTGATTTAGCTCTACTGTTTGAGACACAATATTCGCAGCAGAGCTAATAAAAAAATGTATTGTAAATTATCTGAACTAACCTGTGAGGACAGTCTTTGCATATTTTTTGATCAGCAAAGGATCCTCCTAGCACCTTTGATAACATAGCAGGATAACCTAAATTCTTCAAAGATTCATCTAAACTATCAACTAAGCTATTGAAGAATTCTAAAGCATCATGCTGCTCACGTAAATTTACAGGTTCGCCCCAAAGCCTGCAAAATAACATATTTGACAAAAGTTAACTTCCGGTAATATGCATTCACAGTGGCCTCACTCAGAATTGCATCAGATGTTATATAAACAAGCCATGCATGGCACAGTCCCCGGTAGTTATCAAATTTAAGATATATAGTTTTGTTTATAGTAATATAGCTGGAATATAAACATGTCAGGAATATGATTATGATGATTGTTTAACATTTAAATGATTGACATTTGTATCTGATCGTCAAATGAGTATGGCCAGTCGACCATTTTGAATCTTATCTGAAAACAAAATGATGTGCATCAAGGTCCTATAATGTCCAACGTATATACCAAGTTTGAACAAAATCCATCTGTAAACAGCCAATAAATGCTTGATTTGGATGATTTTTAGAACAAAAATGCCTGCCATTTGGCAATCTTGAATCAGATCGTGAAACAAATTGATGTGCATATGTATAATATCATGTATGATGTATGTGTGAAGTTTGATTGTGATTGGTCAAGGCACGGAATCACGGACGCACAGACGCATATAGGTCAAAACATCTGTTTCCATTTTTGGTCTGGGTCCAAACAGGGACTTAACTAGGTATGACTCCTGGGACCCACAATGAACATGACATGTTGTGATGATCACTGCCCTTTAAGTATAAATATACCTAATAAAACTTACTTAAAGTGTTTCCAGAAACCTCTTGGAACATAATATTGTAATTTACTCTGTGCTAGATGTCCAAAGATGGCCTGCACCTGTTTCAGTACACCTAGATCATATTCTTTTCTTTCTTCTTGTTTACTCATGGTAGGTTTATCTTCTTGACTATCAGTATCACCAGGATCAATGTTAGTCTGTAGATTAGACAACATACAAAGATGTCACTAAATCAAATTTACAGCAGTGTGATAAAATCGAAGCATAAAGTAACATTAATTACTTTTCATGCCTTTATGTATTGTGTAAAGTTTGAAAAACCCAGATAATACGTCCGAGAAATGTTTCCAAATGAACAGGACCCAAATTAATAGCCCTAACAAATTTAAAATAATTCCAATTAGAACACACCATACATACTCAAATAAAGTAAATATGAATTAGAAATTAAATATTCTCAAATAGTTTTAGCAAAATCAACTCCGGATTGCAAACTAGTGACAAATTGTCAACTTCACTATGACAGGTTCACACACTAACCCTCAATTTTATTTTTTCAAAACTTTCTGTATAACAAATGCATAATTAGGTCTATTCGGTCAAAAACCGAAAAATTTATGCAATATTTCACTCAAAGGGTGTTAAAAATTTTTGGGTGAAACAAGAGTGGCTACTCTACATTTTAGTATTTGAAAATCTACTTTTGTTTACAGTGGTCTTAACAAAACAAGACTTCTTCAAAAATATGATGTTCTGTGGTTGAACAAAGAACAATATACATATATTGAGTTCTGATAGCTTGATAGTTGAGTACTGCAAGTATATTCACCTCATTATCATGCTTTTCATCTCCTGAAATATCCTCTTCCAAATCTATGGCAGCACCTTCAGCAGAAAGAATACCAACCCTAATTGTTCGTACCATGTATAACTGAAAAGAAAGAATCATATCTCGAAATGGAGGTCATGATCGGGGGGAAAAAAAAAAACAATTTTTGACTGATCAGTTGAAGTTAGCCAGTGATTAATCAAAATGTGAAAAGTGACGAATTAGTTAGTCAATTATTAAATTAAAGTCATCTCCAATTAATAACAATGAGTGCAAAGCCACACTTTGATTGACGTAGTTAATTGCTTTTTGCTTTGACACACTATAATGCTCGTGCTTAAAGTGTGATTCATGCATGTGTTAGGAGGAACCAAAAGTGTTCTCCATAAGCTACATATGTATGGTTGTCTCAATGCCATGTCTTTAGTGCACAGCAACGTCACCTGGTGATGTCATCAAGGTATACTTTCATACAAATTAAGACAAAAATATATATATATATTGTATTCAGATATATTAATATTCATAAATCAATAAGTAATTTTGGACATCAATAAAACAAATATTTCACATGCACTTTGATTAGCAGATGTTCTACACTGTATATACTAATTGGTAATCCTTCATAGAGCGAGATAGCGAGTTCTATCAACTCACCTGTTGAAGAACAGAATTCATATAACATGTTGCACCTGCATTCTTCAATCCAACAAAACCTCTTCTGGGCCTTGGACCCACAGGTGGCAAATATTCCCATTCCAGTAGAGGGTTATCACGCTCTAGAACCAAACACCATAACTTACAAAATCACATTGTTATGTAAAAGTAGGCAGAGAATGTTGACAGTGGAAATTTCATGGTAGAGGTGGTAAGATGGAAAGCATCAAAATAAATAACAACAAGTCATTGTCAATGACACGTCCCCGTTCCGTTCATATTTGAGTGACATATACATTCAAAGCAGATCATGACCGAAATGCACCTGCATATGTACAACACATTGTGCTAAATCCGAACAAAATCCATCCATGCATGACTGAGATCCGGTTCTGGAATTGTGAAAATACGTGATTTTGATGCATTTTCGGCCTTAAAAT